TGTTTACGAAATTGAGAGGATGAAAAAAGAGTGTGTGGCGACTTAACCGGGTTGGTGGACGCCGAGGGGAGTTGGAAAACCCTAATTCCAAACCGATGGTACATATGGGCTCCAGGATCCTGAAGGAACAAATGGCGTATGAACCAATTGTTGATCACCTGCTACCATGGGACTGCATCTCCTAACGTTGCTCCACTGCCTTGTGGATCAGACCTTTCGGTTGAAGGCTCCAGGTGTAGCCCCCTAAGACAACCACCAGCTTCAGTCTGGGCACCTGGGCAGTATTACAGCCCTCCCACAAATCAAGTGAGATTTGTGTGGCGCATAGGTAATCGGTGTCCTTTTGCACCAATATTTGTGTTGAAATAAATAAATATTCATGTATTTGGTAATGTCCAATCGGTGTTAGTCTAGTCACTCGACAACACTAATTCTAGTCACTCTAATAGTCATTTGTAGATTTATTTTTAAAAAAATTCGAGTGAGTTCATTTGCGTCTGGACAGTAAGGTTTCTGGATACCAGCAACTATCAGATTATCAGACAAGAGGTTGGTTGTAATACTTACTTACGCCTGTTACCCCCTCGTGGAGGTTCATAGGCCGCCCACCATCATTCTCCATCCAACTCTGTCCTGGGCAGTTCTTTCCAGTTGTTACTCATTTTTTTCATATCTGCTTCTATTTCCCGGCGTAATGTGTTCTTTGGCCTTCCTCTTTTTCGCTTCCCTTCCGGATTCCAAGTTAGCGATTGCCTCATGATGCAGTTTGGTGATTTCCTCAATTTATATCCTATCCACTTCCAACGTCTTTCCCTAATTTCCTCTTCAGCTGGAAGGTGGTTTGTGCTCTCCCATAAAACACTGTTGCTGATAGTATCCGGTCAGTGAATGTTGAGTATTTTGCGTAGACAACTGTTTATAAATACTTGTACCTTCTTGATGATGGATGTAGTAGTTCTCCACGTTTCAGCTCCGTACAGTAGGACTGTCTTGACGTTCGTATTGTCAGTCAGTCAGTCACAACGTAGAACTTCGTACGTACGTACATCATTTCGAGTTGCCATACCAAATTAGCACAGAGATGAAGTTGTCGATTCAAATCCTATAGTGGTAGAAGTAGTAAGAGTATAAGCATTATGTGAAAGATTAGGGTTTAAAGATGTTATTGAAGGAGTATAATCCAGTGAAATAAATTTGGAAAGTGAAAAGAGATGGGGACATAAAGAATTCAAAAGGTTAGAATTCGGTAGAACACAAAGAGTGGATGCACCTGCGCCATTGCAAACGATTTTGAGCCATGTCATTCAAGGTCTCTAACCATCGGTTGCTATCATCTTGCGAATCCCAACCAGGTAGTCTACCTACCAACATGGCTCAGTCCAATTGTCAGTGACTTCATGGATTTGTGCCACGTTTTGGTCTGGCCGCCCCTAGCTTTCTTCCAACCTACTCCTACACCAAGGAACATTGCACGTAGGGGGCAGTCGGTGGTTGGGCATACGTAACACGTGTTCCAGCCATCTCAACTGATGAAGTTTCACCACTTCATCAATCGATTTGCCATCCTTACCTAGTACCCGTTTCCTAACAACTGCATTACTTACCCGGTGGTCGCAGGATATACGAGTGATGCTCCGAAGACATCTATGATCGAATACTAGTAGCCTACGAATGTCCTCTACTCTTATCGGCCATGTTTCACTGTCATAAAGTAGAACGGAACAAACTGCTGCACAGTAAACCCGTCCTTTTGTTGCTAGACGGACATCTCGCCTACGCCATAAATGACGCAAGTTGGCGAAAGCTAGACGAGCCTTCTGTATCCGTGTTGAGATTTCGTCACACACCAGACCACAAGGACTGATGAGACTCCCAAGATAAGTGAAGCGGTCGACACGCTCAACTACTTCACTCCCTATCATTAGTTCAGGTGTTGATGCAACCCGATCCTTAAGTAACATTTTGCACTTCGAGGGAGAGAATGGCATTCCGAACATGACTGCATAGTTGCTTATGGTGGTCAGAAGACTCTGCATTTTGTCAGCGTCTTCACCAAATAAAACTATGTCGTCGGCGTATTCTAAATCAACAAGTGAGCCTCATGGTAAAAGTTCAACTCCTGAAGATTGAGATGATGAAATTGTTCTCTCCAAAAGCATGTCAATGACAAAGTTAAACAAGAATGGAGAGAGTAAGACGTTCATATTGAAGATTCTCACAAAGGTGATAAAGTGATAATTCGATTTCTGTGAGATGATTGTTTTGGAAATCATAAGTCAGTTAGTTGGTAATACAGACAGTGTGAGAAGGCTGAAATGCAAAACAAGGGGAAACGGGGATGATAATAAGCGAGACGAAGTAGTTAGTGATGTAATAATAGTAGCAACAGTATATTATGGGACATCAGACACAGCTGGCTCAAACGGGAGACGGTAATCCGTGGATGAGTATGTGTTTGTTAAGTCTCCTCCTAAAGCTGTCCACTGAAGGGGCTGTGGTCACTGTAAGTGGGAAAGTATTCCAAGTAAGCGCAACTCTTAATGACAAAACGTGAGAGCGTACCTGAGTTTTTGTTCTTCAATGTGCAGTTTTTGGTGAGTTGCCCTGAGAAGCGTAGTGGTAATGTTCTGGCAGAATGCTCGAGTTGGGATGACTTGAATTACTTAATATATAAGCCGTTATCAGATCTCTTATTCTCCTGTAGCTCAGCGAAAATAATCACAGGTGTTGGATTCGGTCGTTGTAAGATTTGTTTTAGACCCACCACCCATATAGTCCTCTGTCTCTGTACTTGGTCGAGGAAGTTTATATCTCTTGAAGAGAAAAAGGTGCAACGAAATTGTGGACTTCAAGGTAGAGCCGTGCGTACGTTTTGAAGAGATTTAAGAGCAATTCTAGGGTGACTGTCGAGCTATCTCCTGTTAAAGTGAAGCATCACGTATACATTGCCTGCATCATTTGCATAGTTTTGTGTCCAAGTTCTCTGTGGTTACTAACCCGTGATCACGCTCTGTGGCGACAATAGGGGTCGGATTTGTATGGAGTTTGTTAGTTATTTGTGTCGAACGGGCCAGAATATTTGTGACATGATATTTCTACAGGTTATTTTTTAACTCATTGTTTTTTGCTCATTCCTTTGTTGCTGTAAGATCATTCACGACAATCTCAGCAGAGGTAGATAGTACAGAATGGAACCACTTAGTTCTGGTATTCTACCGTCCCTAGTTATGTATCAAGGATTCCAGTTTAGACTGAAGTTGCTATTACATCGCATCAGAAGCCATCTTGCTTCTTTATGATCGGGAATTATTAAGAGGTTTAACACGTATTCGTCAGAAAACACTTCACTGCCATTCTTACTCCTAGTTTCTAGAATTGTTTACAAGGACATGAGAAACCGAATCAACAGGGATGAGACCTCTTCCCATAGATCATAGCAAACACTAGAATATGTCAAAGCTAGGGGTGATTGTAGTGACATCGGTTATATAACCCTTGCGTTTCGTAGCGTGTAAAACGTGTCCGTCAATCTTCAATTTTCATCTTTATGATCATCCTAAATTCCCATAATCTTTTCTTATATCTACGGTGCTGTTTTTTGTACCTCAATAAGCATATGAGAGCAATAGATATGCCCTCTGGAGCCACTTTAGGTCAGAATTATAAGTTATACGGAACAACTTGTAAAGAGGACTAAAGACACCATCATCCCGCAGAAAACCTCGTGAATTGCTACATACATAAAGTGTGTGTTACGGGAGGGACTCAAAGTATTTATTTGATTTTAAACGGTTACTATGAACATCATTATTTTTACTGGGTTTTGGATATGATTGTTTGAGCCAAACCTCGAACGTAGTTGTTCATAATTCTGACCCTGACCTCTCGGCTTCATTGTTTGGTCTGATAATTTGGAAATTTTGCTCTAGAAACCAAAAGATTTAAGTTTTGTTGCAGAATTTGTTACAATTATTATTAGAACAACATGTTTATTTATTTATTTAAACACATGCATTAGTACAAGGAAGCAACAGATATATATATATATATATATATATATATGCGTCAGACAAATCTCATTTTATTTGTGGGAGGGCTGTAATACTGCCCAGGTGCCCAGACTGAAGCTGGTGGTTGTCTTAGGGGGCTACACCCGGAGCCTTCAACCGAAAGGTCTGATCCACAAGGCAGTGGAGCAACGTTAGGAGATGCAGTCCCATGATAGCAGGTGATCAACAATTGGTTCATACGCCATTTGTTCCTTCAGGATCCTGGAGCCCATATGTACCATCGGTTTGGAATTAGGGTTTTCCAACTCCCCTCGGCGTCCACCAACCCGGTTAAGTCGCCACACACTCTTTTTTCATCCTCTCAATTTCGTAAACAGCACCCCTACCGCGAGAAAGTCGTGAGTAGGACTTCCGTGGGAGTGGCTGTGTACGTGTGGCCATGTGGGAGCATTTCGATAGGAAGAGCGGACTCCCCTAACCTTTCGGCCGTACCAGGGCAAAAAAGTAGAACAACATATTTGGACCGATTATTTGCAATTTATGAATAAATTGTTTATACCGGTACTGAAATTCGGTTTTCTCGCTATTAGAGTCGTGGGTTACGGTTGTACCAGTCGACCGTGCTTCAAGAACGGACCAGGGTAGAAATTAAACGTGACAATATATGCACTTGCAACTTTAAGAATCCAGTCAATTGTCCAAGTAGTAAGTTCGAAAATAAAATGTCCAAAACCTAGTTTTTGTAAATACTGAATACGACTAAAATTGTATATTGGGTGATTAGATATCATAAAGAAGGCGAAAAACTGGCAGGGTAAAATGGCAGTTTACACCGTTTGCTATAATTTGTCTGTTTTATAAAATTAATTTTATCTACAAAGGGTAAGATGATACCTTCGTTCTTGAAGTTGTTTATTTAACACCATATTGTAAATTATATTCAATACCTTCTTTGTTTGGTAAATGTTAATATTATTTTCTCTTTTTCAGACACTCATTTCAATCTGTCTCACTGTATTGAAATTAAGGAGACAAAATCATTTGACTCCTGATAATCTTTATCTGCTACAGTAATACTAACAATAATAATTTCTTATTTTAACTAAGGTGTACAAAACAGAAGGAAACTGAATTTATTCATATTTTCGCAGGAAAAGTAAAAATTTGTTAAATTTTAGTCAAAATGACGTTACCTTTGGAACGCATCTATCTTGGTATGTTAGGTGTTGGGACTGTTGGTAAAAGTGCATTAACATTGCAATTTATGTATGACGAAGTGAGAATTGTGTCAAGTTATTTTCTGATTTCAGATTATTTAGTTTGTTGATGAATATGAACCAACAAAATCGGATTCTTATTTGAAAAAAGTTTCTTTAAGAGGTCATGACGTAGAAGTTTCAGTTCTTGATACAGCCGGTAAGTAGATAAACAGTTAAAAAATATTATCATTAATTCAAAAAATGAACAATTTATATAAACAATAAATATAAATTTTTCATTCTACCCTCCTAAAACAATAAATAAAGTAACGCGAAATTGATTAATATAATCCAATCAACACTACAAAAGACTTTATGTGTATATGAAATGGATCACTATGTAGTGACTAATCAATTGTAAATATATTTTAGCTCTACATGATGTTAGTCGCGGCCCGAATAGCTCAGCGGTAACGTCTCTAACTTTAAAGCTGGGTAACACAGGATAGAATTGACCATGGAACACCAGTTTCCTCAAGATTACAGTCATGCTTTGCTGATAAGCGTCAAATAACACGAAAAGTAGGTCAAGTCACTTAAACTAGTGGCCACACTGAAACTTAATCGATATAGTACAATCAACATTAAAAAGGACTTGACATACATAATATTGGTCACTTTCTATTGATTGATGACTTAGCAGCTTACACGCATGCAAAGGATTGGTTTACCACATGTTTTTAATTATTGTGTATTCGTTTATTTACAGGAATATGACTAGAATTAATTACCATGATTCATAATTTTCATAAAATATGTCTACCGTACTTTGCAAATGTCTTGGTCAATTCTTGAATTTACAGTTATGTAACACAGCAACGAATAACAAGATATTTGTACTAAAATTAAGGATTTAAAAATTGTTTAGTTTTGTTTTAGTTTTTATCGCTCACTAACATTGGATTTTTGAAAAAGGACTTAACGACTGATTCATTCTAGTCCAATGATTTTTCGTAGTGTACATCTATAACTCTAAACAAAAATCTACCTAAAGCTTCTTGATATTAAGGCTAGCTTAGTATATTCAGAAAACTGAGTAGAAACCTAATAATCAATATTCTCAACTTCAGTCAACTCAAGATATCGTTCAGACATTGTCTAATAACACTAAAGCCACCTACCTCACTCTCAGTATTTCATGATTCCACCGGCTGGAGATGAAAAAGGATGATTACTAAAAATCCTAGTGGTTTGACTCTCCCATCAAGTTTTCTATTGGATAGAATTCTCACTACTTTGAGAACGAACCTCCATAGAAATAAAAACACTGGGTAATTAGAATAGCTTCATATTGTTAAAGTTATTACAATTTTGTTAGCGTATTCAGATTGCTGTCTTTTGTGACTGTAATTGTTTAATTTTACTCACTTTTCTTGTTTACTAGTGTATTTCATGTACCTTGAGTGCATAGGATGTAAACTAATTTTTGCTTAGAGTTTAAGTTGATAATAGCACTCGTCAAATTTTATCTAAACAGACTCTGACTTTAAATGACACAAGTGATTGTGCAATAACTAAATACTCCATTCGTAAAAAAGTGCATACAGTTGAAAAAAGGCTGACGGATTAATAAAGACTTCACGTATAAGTTTTGTTTAATAATTTAGTGTTGAACCAAACCATGAGGAACTGATTGGAGTAGATTAGAAGAATAATTGAATGAAGGTAGTAGCTTTTTTTCCTAAATTTAAATACCCTTTTAAGCACCATATAATTCATGAAGGTGTAACACATTGGGTGCCATCTTAATGGTCTGAAAAGTAGCACACCTGACAATAAGTCCGATGGTTCTGAATTTAGTTTTTGGCTTAACACTAGGTATGTACTTCTGAAAAGTTTCATACTAGGGCTAAAAAACTGTCGAATAACCCCTAATTTTCAACAGTGTTCCATTTAAATTTAGTCCATGTTGTGAACCACGAATTAAACACTTCGCAAACTTCTTACACTATCAACTCTTAACAAGTCCACCCTGGCTCATTTTTCTAGCTAAATAGACTTTAAGAAAATCGTTTAGGCTTTTTCTAATCCTTCGGTTAAGATTTTATTCTGTTCATAAATGAGGTTATGGGAATAAGTCAAATTTTACAAAACTATCTTTTTCGATATTAAAATGTTTTCAACTGCTCAGACGAAATGTTTTTTGTTCACTGTGGTGGGTTATTTATACTCAGACTTTCCTTACAATCAAAATTTAGTAAATCTCATGATATTCATTCCAATATAATCGTAAATTATGTAACTTACGAGCTTATCCTTGAAAATGACTAACAAATCAATAGTATCTATTATCGATCTCTACTGTAGTGTTTGACAGAATGCCAAATCACTAGTGACATAATCAAGTAACATATGAGGTCTTTTGTTAGTTAGTTAAAGTTTTATAACATTTCAAAGTATAATAAAACCAATGCACATTAAACTGGAATTTAGGTAAATTATAAAAAGCATTGAAAAATATGTTCTTTGTAATTAACTAATTTCATCAACTAACGTCATAAATCATGTTAATTTACAGAACATCTAAAAATAATGATTTAATTTTAGCAATAGAAATAATACAATCAAATTTTATAATATATAAATGATTATCGTGAATTGTTTGAAGTTAGACATTAATACCGTTGGAAGCCAACCCAGTGGTCTAACTGTTAAGCGTTCATGCATGAGACCGAAGGTTCTGGGTCCGAGTACCTTGTGTAGACTCGTGAATGTGCACTTTCGAGGAATTCAGTACTAGGATCAATTGACCATCCAGTGCTGTCAGGCTTTAAATGGTGGTCTAACATTGATCAGTTCATGATCTCAATATAAATGACTGTCTATTTTACTAAAAGTTATTTTCATACTATAAATAAACCATTATTTTAATGATAAGCATGTTTTTAACACATCTATCATTGATAAGCAATTAAAAACATGGACCAAGAATAAGATAATAATTAAGTTTTCCATTGTTTTCAATGATTCTTTAAAAAAAATCATCAGTCCATGATGTGAACTAACTTTAAATCAAACAATCTTAACAAATTTATTTTCTCAATAATAATCATTTGTTCAACGATGTTGATCTTCGTGAATAACTCTCAAATTTCTAATTAAAAGCTATAACCCAGTGAACTCTCAACCATGTCAAGAGTGAGAGAAATATCATTGATGGAATTAAGGGATCATGAGCACTATATATCCGGTCTAAAATTGTCATATGTTTTGTAGATTACGTCAAGTTTTCTTTGTACTTTTAACAGGTTTTCTTTGCATAGTTTCAAGACTTAATTTTTAAAACTACATATAACTATCCTAAACCCGACCGTTGCTGCTACCTTGATGTGGTGATCAGGCTTACTTATCGTGATGAACCAATCAAGCTATACTGGCTGGAACAATCGTTCCTCAAGGTCCTACCATGCCAGTCAGGTCGGTTAAAGAGCGGTAAGACTAAAAGCAGCAAACGCAAGTTCCGAACGCGAAGTTGTACTGCTGATTGTACAGAGGTGAGACGGCAGTAAAATGTTTCCTTCGGACAACCAGCATAACAGTGGTGCTGCCTTCCCACAAGGAGTGGGGTTACAAAAGGTCGACCCTAGAAATGCACACATCGTCTTATCCCACGGATATCCGTCTTCGGTGGTATGATCTCAACAAGTACGGAGCATGCATCGGTCCAAGTTGCCACACCTCATCAGCACAACAAGATGAACACCAAATTCATAGAAGTAGTTACTTCAATGGTAGTAATATATAAAAGAAAGATTGTGTATAAGGATACAGTAGGGTAAAAAAGAATTAATTCATAGAAAAATCTAAAGCAATTTTAACCTCATGATTTAAGGGAAAACAAAGACTGTATACACATACGCCATTGTGATAGATTCTGGGTAACGTCATACAGAGTCTCCAACCATTGGTTACGATGGTCACATAGACACCAACCAAGTAATCTACATATCTACCAACATGGCTCAGAATAGAAGTTAGTGACTTCAAGGACTGATACCATGTTTCGGTTTGGCCGACCCTAACTCTCTTCCAACCATCACTAATACTAGTCAGTATTACACGTCGTGGTAATCGGTGTTCAGGCATACATAACACATGGCCCAACCATCTCAGTCGGTGAAGATTCATGATCTCATCAACTCTAACCACAAATAAATATAATATAATCTCAACATTAATTGGCTTTCATTTTTCCCCTTATACATTCTCCCTTTTCTTGTTTCTTTTATCTTCAATATTAAAATTTATGTTACTGACAATGATGATTTTACAAAATCTATAGTATTAGAAAGTACTTTCAAAATGTATAACAGTAATATACATGTGATAATTATTTTAAATGGTAGATACGTTTTATACTTTTGATAGCTCATTCATTCAAACAACTAGGGAAAATATTGGAACGAATTCATGTGATCATACTATTATTATTATTATTATTATTATTATTATTATTATTATTATTCTATTCATAAAATAACCAATTTAAAGATTTTTCAAGTGTACGCTTATTCACATTTAAAAGTAAACTGTTTTTTTATTCATTCTAAACATGTGAGATGATGAATTTTAAAACAATAGAACTAACTAATGATTTAAACAATAACAAAATGAATGAATCAATTAAGACTATCTTCTTTTTCTCCTTCTTCTTCTTTACTTTAAAGAAGTAATAGATCTGAGTACAAGGTATATTCCATAATAATGAAGTAAGGTTACTATTAAAATTCCAAAGAAACATACTTATGGTTGATTGACCTACTGACTGATTGTACAAAAGAAAAAAAAGAGAGAAAAAATGATTAAATCATTAACGATTTTGAATATTGAACAAAAAGTTCCAAAAATGTTCCAATTGTATACATTGATTAAATTAATGAGTTTTACATCGGTTATTACTTGAGAATACCAAGAAAATATGTAATCAGCTAAATTGAAATTTTAAGGATAGGGGACAGTTGTATAACAGTGAGTTATGTAATCACTACTAGTCTAGAAATCACGTGAGTATAATATAGTATGAGAGAAATATTGTATAGAGGTTAATGTGATCTGTTAATTGTAATAATAGTGTGTTTGCTAAGAAGTATAAATTGGTAATTAGTACTTCTTCATTGAAAAAAGGGTATATAAATAAACAACAAGAGAGGTTGGGGA